ATTTGTCCTTAGGTGGAAATGAAAATTCATATTCAAACTGAAGAAGGGCAAATGTGCCCAAAAGCTTGCAAATTATATATATATATATATATATATATATTGAACAGGAGGAAGCAACGCTTCCTATTGAACAGGAGGCAGAAGAGCTTTCTTGACCCAGATATTTTTCAGGACCCGTTTCAACTAATAAAATCTAATAAAATATATCACCTCTCCTATGAGTTGTGTTTCCTTTTGCCTGTGGGCCAATACGGCTACAACCTGTATCTTTGAAGATGTGGAGAAGAAAGAAAAAAAAATCCACTAGGTTGAGAAGGGCAGATCCCGGTGCAGTTGCTTTGGCAACCTGGAGGGAAGGAGAGTTGAAGTGATTTTTCTGAAGGGGGGGGGGAATAAATGGTTGCCTACCCCGGATAAGTGCAGGAGGCAGGATGGGGCTCCAGGTTGTAGCTGTATTGGTCTAGAGGCAAAAGAAATCAGAAGTGGTGGTAGAGGTGAGATATTAGATCAACTAGATTTTTGCAAAACAAACAAACAAATACAATTCTTTAATTGCAAGCTTTCGGGCACAAGCACTCTTCTTCAGGCATAGGAGAAAAGATGGCGAGAAGGTGAGAATGGAAAAACGGCGGCAGGATGGGATGCTAGAAACACCGCCAGGACCAGCCAGTGCCTGATTTCCACTCGTTTCTCATCAAAAGAGATCCCGGACGGAAGATCCTCTCCTTCACTGCTACCCACGGGGACAAGCCACACACGTCTAGAGGGGAAATCAGCTGGGTGCAAAGCCCTTCCAGCCCGGCTCGTCCCTCAGCTGCCACCACATCACAAGGGAGCTGGTGCATTACCCGGCCCCTGCCGCGCCGTGCGCTGGGGCAGCCGATCCCCCGCCCGGGGCCCGCGGGGCACAAGCGGGCTAACGTGCCCACGGGCGCGGGGGCAGATTGCACGGGCATCGCCACCCGCAGCGAGGCGGGCATGAGCCCTTCCCACAGCAGCTAAGTTTCCTTCCCGGAAGGCGAGGACGGGGCAGGGCGGCAGAGCCCTTGAACAGGAGGCAGAAGAGTTTTCTTGACCCAGATGTTTTTCAGGACCCCTTCCAACTCGCCAGGCATGGGCCGCCGGTGCGCTACAGGCACCCGGCGCAGCAGCTCCGCTCCGGGTGAGCGGTGTGCGGGGATACAGACACTCGCTTTCCCCCAGGTCTCGATTTGGAGCGGGGGAAAGATCAGTCTGGCAAGGGCAGCTCTCACTGTTACCGCAGGGATTCCCCTGGGGGCAATCCGGGATCCCCGAGCCACGGACTGCCCCTGCCCTCCGCCGGGCCACCCCCCTGGAGAAGATCTGTGCTGGGAGAGGGGAGAGAGAGGAAGTGTTCGACCTCCACCCCCGAGATCGAAGTGAGGGCAGAGATCCCCTTGCCCAGTCCTGTAATGCAGGAAGGGTACTGCGGCTCCTCTATAGATCACAAGGTGGGGAGGGAGAGAGAGACAGAAAATCCTGGGGGGATCTTCAGGTGTAAACACTTATCTCCCCCATCACTCTTAAGAAAAATCACTTTAACTCTCTAGGTTGCCAAAGCTGCTCTAGCAGCTGCACCGAGATCTGCCCTTTTCTTAGTGGATTTTTTTTCTCTCCCCTCCATATCTTTAAATTTGTGTACGTAAAGTTGTTGAGAACTATAAAGCCACACCTTGCAGACTAACCAGACTAATTGTGCACAATCCTCAATGACATCTATGGCTAAAAAAAATTCCCAGACAACTGGTTCAACCTGGGGTTGAAACTAGTCTGAGATTTCTCTCATCAAAACAGGGCCCCTTATGCACCAGGTTTAAATGGCAATTAACTAGAAGTAGCTGGGATTGTTCCAATATAAAGAAGCATTAATTTGGGTACTTGACTGGTATTCAGTGTGGGACCCTCTGTAAAGTCTGGGCTTTGCTGTGAGACGAGATGTTCAAATCCAGATATATGCCCGCACTCATTTTTAGTCTACTGCATGAGCTTGGTCCTGCCCCCAAGAAAGCCCTGCAAATTCCAGGTCCATGCAGGATAGGCTGTGCTATTCATTTGATCAACCAAGCTTAAATCTAGGGCTCAGCCCCAGGTTGCCAACCTTTCAGGACTGCCCTGGAGTCTCTAGTAATTAGATATAAATGTCCAGGAACCTGCTGAGAGTCTTCTGGGAGATAAATGATAGGGAATTCATTAAAATATTAAATGTTGAATCTGATTTATATTGTAGTCCAGTGGGTTTTTAAAACGTAATAGTAATGTACATTTGCCTCCCTGACATAAAATCTATGCACTGTAATCCATAACCAATATATGCAAGCACATTGGCATCATGTCATGGGCACAGTTGACTAAAGAGACAATGCCAACTACGTTACACTGCAACTTTTATGAATTCTTAAAAGAGGCCCAGAGTTGCTGAGAGCAGCAAGAAGAATAAGTTTAATGAATGAGTTTTTGCATCTGTCCTTTTATAATGGTATTAGAATGTTACTTAATATTCTGTATCTTTAAATCAACACACATGCACGCAGACCTACAAACATTTAAATGTGTATTACAAGCAAAATATCCCTAACCAGATCTCACCTTTAAAAAATAAGATTCACATTACAACTTAAGATTTTGCAGTATTTATTTTTGCAATATGCTTAAAATGTGAAATTATGATTCATATGATGCTCCTTATTTCCATCAAAGGCAAAATGATGGCTCTGTAGTGAATGAGTTGCAGAGTACAGTAGTCATTAATATCATTATGTCATGTGATAAAAACTCTGGAAATAGATTCAAACAGAGCTGGTAACCCTAACTGTTAGGGGAGTCAATGAAAACTTACTGTACTAACAACAAAAAGTGTGTTCTCATGGGAGTTTCAAGCCTGGAAGCATCTATTTCATTACTGTATAAAGACCTCGAGAAACTGACACTCATCCAAGCATCAGTGAAAAACTAAAGCAGTGCTTTTTAGGCAGGCCTGCCACACATTAGCCCTATATTCTACCCAGGTGCCACCTCAATCCCCTTCCCCTGCCCAATCTGCTACATTTTTTGCTTTCAGCACTGTCCTCCTTGCTTGACCTGCAGCTCTGTCTGCTTTCTTCCCGGTGCTTCCTGTCTATTTTGCTGCTTTGCTTTCTGGTTCCTGCCATATCTGCCACTGTGCTGCCTGCCTCCTTCTCAATCTGCTGCATGCCACACACAGAGACTGCTCATGCCACTTGCGGCACCCGTACCATAGGTTGACCACCCTTGCACTAAGGCACTGAAGACTCAATTCTTCATACTATTTGTTGGATGAGTTAAATTACCTTTTGAAAAATAACACTTTAATTTCTCTTATTCGCATCTACTTGCTTCTCTGTATATACTCACCCACTTGCATTTTATAATACCCAATTGCATTGTATATATCGCGCTACCATCCAGCAAGGTGTCACCCAATATATATATATATATATATATATATATTAATATTGCAATATATAAGGCATATTTTAAGGTAACTGGTAGACAACATAAACTCTGAATCACTGGAGAGAGAGAGGGTGGAGGGGGGTGGGGGGAACTTGTTTACCACTTGTCTAGTTTCATTTCTCATTCACTTTTTTCATCCTTTAAAATGAAACTAGTAGGCATGAAAGGCAGGAGGAAGAAACTAATTTCTGTAAAGTCTGAAGAAAACAAATGATACAAATTGAACTTTATGTTTTACCAGGTAACAACTATGTGCACTGCCTGAAAAAAATCAGGTAACAGTAAGCAAGGAAAGAAAAATTGCTAGGAACAGCTTTGACAAAACAAAAAAAAGATGTCTTAGATAGAAGTATCCTACACAGGCAGGTGCATGGCATGGAAGACATAAGAATTAATTAACATCTCCCAATTGTACAAATATATCTTTGAAGATTACATTTCATAGTAGCTGCAGATAGTGACATTATCTTAAGTCTGACCGTCTATCTTTGTCCCTCAGGTGTTTTTATTTTTACTTACAAATTTACTTTTAAAGCCACTTGGAAAGGTAATTTATCATCCCTATTTTAGAAGATACAAAACAGGGAGAAGAAAGGTAAGACAGAGTTAAATGATGTAGTTAAACTTGAATAGTCTTTTTTTTACTGTGGTTGTTTCACTGGGAATAACCCGTAGTACTCATTGTCTACTTGTTAAAAGAACCAGAAGCAGGGAGGAGTGGGCTTGAAAATAAGCTGGGAAGTTAAAGTATTCTGTTATTTATGTCAGATGCCATCAGCCATAATACTGTGACCCAGATGACAAACAGCATAAACAAAAGCCTTTTACTTAATTATAATTCTGTGAATATGAATGTTACCATCATAACATAACCCCTCTGAGATCTTAGAACTACAAATTTAATTTGATTCCAAAAGGTGATTACTTGGCCTTGGAGAGGCCACAGCTGGAGTACTGCATCCAGTTTTGGGTCCCCCACTTCAGGAGGGATGTGGAAAAGCTTGAGAGAGTCCAGAAGAGCGCCACTCGGATGATCCGAGGCCTGGAGGGCAGGCCGTACGAGGAGAGGCTGAGGGACTTGGGACTCTTCAGTCTGGAAAAGAGAAGGCTCAGGGGGAACTTGGTAGCAGCCTACAATTATATAAGAGGGGTACATCAGGACCTGGGAGAACAGCTGTTCACCAGAGCTCCCCAAGGGATAACAAGGTCTAACTGCCATAAACTCCAGGAAGGTGGATTTAGACTAGACATAAGAAATGAGTTCTTCACGGTGCGAGTGTCCAGGGTCTGGAACAGACTACCCCCAGAGGTGGTGCAAGTACCTACTCTGGACTCTTTCAAAAAACATCTCGATATTTTCCTGTTGGGATCACTTGATCCCAGCTGACTTCCTGCCTATGGTGGCGGGGCTGGATTCAATGATCTCACAAGGTCCCCTCCAGCCCTTAATGTCTATGAAATCTATGAAAGAGCAAATATTTAAACAGCATACGAACTGCAATTCATATTAGGACTTAATGTGAGATTTAAACAGTTGTATAAACTACAACAGCAAAAACTATAATAACTGCACATCAATCAGTCAGTCAATCTTTTATTATAAGACTCTGCAGTGTTAATGATCATCTCTGTAATATCATGTCAACTGTTTTCCTGCTTCTCTGTCACTGTGGCTATAAATACTTCTTTAAGAATATCCTTATCCAAGTGCCTGCCTGTAAAGAGAACAAAATTAGTTAACGTTATTTCCCAGCATACTGCAAAAAATAGCTTTGTGTATATACATGTTACATACCAAAAAGGGTAAACTAGTTTTATTATAATATATGCCTAGTTTTTACTCCTGATTTCCAAGCAGGCAACAACAAAGTTGCATAAATGAGAGAAATGAAAATGAAGAGCTAGACTCGTGTTCATCAGACAAATATATGGAGTCAAACTATAGCTTGTATTTTAAAGAACTCCCAAAAACCCAAGTGTCCAGCTTCAACATTAAAAAAGATACTGAAATTAAAAAAAAATGAAAACAGTGCTTATGACTGCATAAACCTAAAAGACTGTCCAATCTTTTTCTTGAGGGAGACTCATCAAATCTCTGGTTACAGTCAGTCCCACAATAATGCTTTTAAATTGTGTTTAAAAACTGCATTGTATCCAACTCCACAGACAAACAAATGGGCACATACTTCAGGCATCATTTTTATTTAAATTTACTGTTTCACCCATTAAATAATTATAGAGGGTATGTTCACACAGCAAAATGAAGAATAGTGGTATGTGCCTTAATCTGTGTAGCACAGATGACAACAGTGAAGATGCATTAGCATGGGCCAGTAGAGTCCAGGAACCACAACTATGTATTCTGGGTTGCCAGAAAAAGCTAATATTTGTGCCATCACATCTCTCTTTGCTGCTACTGATACCTGAGCTGGCAAGAATAAAGCTAGCACAGGTGTCTTAGCACATGCTAGAGATTTATCTTTGTTTTGTTATTTTAACAATACGGTTTTGCCTGTTCCGAGAAATAACTGACCAAAATCAACTATGACACGTGCAGTTTTCTCTTACCTATTAGAACCAATCTGTTTGTTCTCTCTTCATTCTCTTTCCAGCCAACTGCAGTCTCTTCTAGATCATACAGTTCATGGACACCTTGGACAATCACTTGGTGAGATGCATCTTTAATAGACACCAATCCCTGATTAGAAAGGCAATTGCTGTTAGTAGCATCATAGTAGGACCTAGGAGCTCCAACGTAAATCAGAGCCATGCTGTATACGCACTGTTCAAATGCTAACTAAAATTTAAAAAATCAAAATGAGACAACACAACAGCAATGGATTTAACAAATAAGGGGGACAAATGAATAAGGGCACCCTGACTGTGCTACATTTTAAGGTAACTAGTACAGAATCTGAATTCTGAATCATTGGATAATGGGTGTGTTGGGGAAGGGAGATTTTGTTTACTATTTGTCTATTTTTCATTTCTCTTCCACTTTTTCCATCTTTTAAAAGTCCTAAAGCATGTCTGTGTGGGTGTGTGTGCATGAAAGCATCCACTGCCTATCCCAAAAAATAAATTACAACACAAGCAGCTCTTTAGCTATGAATAATTGTATTTAAGTTACAGAAACCTTCAGCACTTTTACTATTCTCAAACAGTATGTGTAGCAACAGCAGAGTCAACATCATTATTAAAGAGGGGGCAACAAAAGGAAAAATGAAAAACAAAACTTTGTCACTCCATGAAAAAAAAAATCTGACTATATTTTAGGCAGGCACATTTTTGATCAACTCAGTCTGTATTTCCTTAGAGGGAAAAAGTTTGTGCATGTGAGGAAGTTTTGTTTTGTAAGTTTTAAAGAAATCATTTGCATTAAACCAGGATCTGGTAAACTACATAGATTTAGTTAAAATTCAGATAAAACTTACAATCTATTCACAGTCGTTAAAAAACGGTGATCCATGCTGGTTATATCTCTGGATTGCCTCAGCTGAGTCAAGGGTAACAACCATATTAGTTAAGAAAATGTAAAAGCCATACCTTGAGTCTTATGACTTCCATGGGGTATCCAGTTTTGTCTTTCACATTCTTTTCCCACAAAAGATTCTACAAACAAAATAAGATTTTAGGGAGAGAAACCACATGCCTACAATCATTTCGTTAAAGTGTGTAGTAGCTATTTCTAAAGTAACAATTGCACAGAACTCACCTGCATAAATATATTTAGGTTTTCTTCAGTTATGTTTCCTACTGCTTCAAACGTAACTGTAACAATACTCTGAAAATAAAAAAAGGTTCATATATTAATGCTCACTTATACAAATTAAAATGGAATAAACATTTCAATACATTATATACAAAGGGGCAATACACAACTGCCATTATATATTAAAAGAAAAACAAAATAAAAAAATGTGCACTGTATGTTTTGCTTTAAGTTAGTATGTTACTACAGTCATTTTAGTTCTGTTGTTAATGTTAGCCTAAAAGGGTAATTAACACCTGTGGGTATTTTTATGCCATCAAATTTCATACTGTAGAATTCAATGCAGTAAGTGATACTTGTTCCTTACACAGACTTAACAAACTATCATAACATCACAGGTTAAAATGACATGATTACATCTTTCAAATGTTTAATAATGAATAAGTCCCTTGACTACTGCTTTGTATCATCATAGTGCTTCTTTTCACTAGCAGACTGATACTTTTGTGTCAAAAATGGGGCTGTTTACCTTATCATTGCTGCACACATTTTATAACACAAATGCAGTAAATAAAAAACTTTTATAAATAGATCTTCAAGAGTGGAACTTCTAACAAAAATACCCAAACCATGTTTTATGCAAAATGAAGCACCAGCCTGAGTCTTAGAGCTGGTCACTAATAAAAAGAAAAAATATTCTGCTCCAGAGTTGTTGAAAAGAACAATTTATTTCAAAATGATTCATTAAGAACAGGCAAGGTTTTTTGGGTAGATGTGATAGCTTTTATAGACCAACTAAATAGTGGGGAAAAGTTCTTAGCAAGCTTTTGGCACAAACTCCCTTCGTCGGGCATAGGGAGTCTCTGCTGGTCAATGTTAAGAACAATGTTTCATTTGAAGTCCAACAAACAAAATTTACTCTCTCTCAGGGGGCTATTTTAAGAGACTCCCACTCTTTGCACTATATTAATAGCCTTTAAGTGGTAAGAGACTATGTATAAAATGTAAAAGAAAAATAAAATGCAACTAAAGTAGCAAGTCTAAATGTTTATTCAACAAGGAATTAAAAACAAGAAGGTGCTAACATTTTGTTCACCAGTAGTTAAAAGGGGGAGGGGGGTGAGAGGGGGGCATTAAGTCCAATATGCTTCACAGGCACAGTAACTGCTTTTATTGACCCTTCAAATGAAGGCAATAAGCAGCTATTAGCCTCCACAAGACCTTGTAGCCAATTGTGAAAAAATCCCCTGTTCTCATTTACACGTCATCTGTCTCAATAACCCTCTTAAAAGAGTGTTAAACAAGCAAGGAGAACAACAAATGAACTCATACAGTTTCCTACTGAGAAAAAGGATGCTGGTTAAGCAGCCCCACATTACAGAAACAATAATCATTTCCTTAATAATGCAGAGTTGCAACCTCCCCTATAAACTTCAGGAAGCGCTGCATTTTATCTTTTCCCACTATGCACTCAAAGTTGCTATGCTATTGTACTTTATTATGAACATGAATGTAAATGAAAAAAATCTCTCATTTTTATATAGGTACTGACTACAAAATATAAATTGTTGCTAAGCATAAGCTTAAGGGTAACTTAAGTTTAAGTATTCATTATAGAAAGGGAATATTCACCTCAGAGAGTCAATTAAGAAAGAAACATACTGAGGTCATACTGAGATTTGCAGTTAAGAGTTAAAATTCCTCTATTTTTCACTGTAATAATTGCAATTCATTTCCAAGTTTAACACACATTAAGTCCTAAGAAAATTACCCAATTTTCTTTAATACTGTATACATCAAAATGAGCCTTTCCAGAATTGCTTTTTTAATACTGGGTCCCACTAGTCACCTTTCTGCACATCCCTCTTTAAACAACTACCATCCCAGCAAACCTCACTGCAAACATGTTACTATTTGATAGGTGCAAGAACATTTAGCAAGTTTTGTACTGAAACAGAAAATGGGGACTCCTTTAATTCCCCTTATCATCACAATGCAGTAACAAGTGAGGGGACAGTTACCGGTACATCCATCATGCAGCTCCCTCAGCACAGCTGCTTCTTTGACAGAACCCCTAGCTTCTAAAACTCCCGAGTAAATGCAGAAGTTCACTAGTAAAGTCCTGATCTGCCTGACCTCCTTGGAAAACACAGACCTCTGTGGTTCTTCCTTCCTTTTTCATGTCCTTGTGACAAGGTATTTAGCAGAATTCACAGACAAGCCATAGGAAGTTAAGGCAGAAAAGCTAATTCAGAGTCAAAAACTGCTTGTTGGTTATTTTACTAACAAATCACACCATCCTCCAACCAATCCAATATACCAAATAACTGGGAAGATAGCAATTCCACAGTAAGAAAACAAGATATTAAGGTTACATTGTTTTAGATGAGATTCACAGAATAAGTATGCAACAAGATGGATCATTACAGGAAGAAAAAGGGTAACAATTAAATACAGTCAAGATGATAACAAATATTTTGAAGATAAGTGGAAAGAGCAGAGATCAGGGTGAGCAGAGAGAAAGTGTGCTATTTACAAGAATAATTTTAGCCGGAGTTCCAGAAGAATGGTTTCAGCTGTCTTTTGTCAGGCAAACCTCTTGCTCTCTGCCCTGACCACCTAAGAATTCCTGAAGTTTTCTCTCTCCCTTTTTGGTTTCTGTTTCTGCTAATTTGCCTCATTTTAACATTCCCACCTTGGCACAGTGCTGTTGCATTTAAGTTTTGCAACCCTTCAAGGAAATGTATGCATCAAAGACTTTCATGGCATTATATAATCATGAAAACTGGTGTATGTTATAACTTTCCTTAAGAAGTTTTCCCTCACCTCTCCCAACATATACAGTCTGATCCTAGACTATAATGGGTCCCACTGAAGAACTGTCCATGACCAAGAATTAGACCCATTAATCTCATTGAGAGTTAATGAAATTCTGGTACTTGTAAAGTCTTTTAGCAGGTATTTACTTAATACAATTCAATAATTATAGTATTGTCACCCTTGACACCAACTGTATTTAGAATCTTCAAATGAAAAGTAAACTACATATGAAGGAAGTATTTTTCTTTTTAAGCAACAAAAGTGAGAGGGGTCTCAAAAAAAGTAACATAAGCTAGGGCAACAAGGGTTTTAATTGTTCCAGACAGAAACCAAAATGCCAGTCATGTTATCCTTAAAAAACCCCCCTATATTTTAAACAGAAAAATTACGTGGGCAAACGGCATCTTCAGCAGAAGAGAAATATAACATGAACATTAAAACAGCCAAAAAAATCCCATTTAAAAACATTGCAGGAATTTAGAATACATTTTAGAACACATATCCTCCGAAAGAGAGAAAATGTATGTACGACATTAGAAGTTAATGTCAGTATCCTTAACCCTGTTAGGAAAAACATTTTGAACCTTATTAAAGCAGTGGATACCAGAATAAATATTTTTGAAAAAAATATCCTTAATTCACAAAAATATTTTGTTTCTTGGGACTCAAGTAAATATAAATTTTGTAATCCACTGTATATTTTTTAACCCTAGTTACTCATACTGGTGGGATACCATAAAGTTCATTGTTTGGTATGTTTCAACTAAAACAGCACTTTTTTCCCTTCCTCATTAAATGAGGTAAACAGTACACTGGAAGCAAGAATCCACAAAATACAAGTCATATTTACATGGATTCATAGTGGTTTCTTCTTTGAACATGCTAAAAATACACTGTGTAAACTGTACATGGATGCAAACCTCAAAAAACAGAATTAACAATTTACCAGCATTAAACTGGCACAGAATCAAAAAACTTTCAAACAAAAACAGCAAGTAATGTACTGCGTTTCTCCCTGCAATCCTGCATGGATAAACAACACTTTACAAGCACCTGTACTCCTCTTATTGGTAGAATGGTAAGGTATAGGAAAGCGCAGAAGGGAAGCGTAGTAAATACGGGGAAAGAAATACTACTTATAAAAGGTACTGCAGTACACAGATTTTTGACATTTAATATCCAACACTGTTTACTAGAAAACAAAGTGATGATTTGGGGGTTATACAGAAAACTAGATTAGAAAAAAGGAATTAAGGGGTGCTAGAGATGGTCATTTCAAACAGGAAAACGGTTAGAAATGAACATAGAAAAAATAATGTCACCTCTGTTCATAGTACAGGAGAGTTAGGTAAGAATAATGGTAAAATCTACAAGCAAGTTTCCAGATGATACTGAAGTTGAAGATACAGCAATTTTTCCTCCCTCTTTCTCTATCTTTTGTATTTAAGTGACTTTATTCCTTTCTATGCAATATCCCTGCTCTCTGCAAGTACATTCCTAACATCTGACAAAGCAGGCTGTAGCCTACAAAAGCTCTCTGAACAAGTTCGGCAGAAGGTAGGGCAAGTTGGCACCTTAAAAGATCAACTTTAGGCAGAGAGAGGTAGTTAGTTAGCTCTGTTAGATTAGAGCACTGGACCCTCACAATCTGGTAGAATCTTTCTACAATGAAACCCATCCATCCATATAAATCATATAAGGAATCATTTTGAATATACATGTTAAGTGTGATTGTTTAGTTAATTCAAATCATACAGTAGCATGATGAATATGCAATGTCTAACATACAACAAGAACTCCAATTCATTTTATTATCAGAAGTTTTGGAGCAGCACTTCTAATAGTTACCTTATCTAGGTGTGAATGTGTTTTCTGTACGTGCTTCAGCTTTCTCTGTAAACTGAAAACAAGTAAAATTAAACCTTGTATTTTATTAGAGCACCACATACAAATTCTTAGATTCTTTGTGTATTTAAGAAATGCGTAAAAATTAACAAAGGATATAGCTAGCATAGCACTGAATGAAAATCAAAACGTACCAGAAAAGCAGAATATACATATTTAGAAGTGCTAAATACTGACATCATTTTAGAGCAACATTTAAGATTATATAACTACATAACTTTTCTTTACATTGGAATAATTTTTTTTTGATCTGGTTGATGTCTTATGATGGAATACTAGTGTCTTTACAATGTAATTAATAAACAACATTCCACAATCAATTATTTAGAAATAATTGCCTGGGTGTATCAGAGAGCTACAGTATACAATTGTTGTTTTTAGTAAAGGACAGAAAAACAATATTTACAGATGAAAACTGGGTTCAGTGAAGAAACATCTGTGTTCAACATGCTTGGGAATGCATTCCCCTTTGTTTAGAATTATTGGTAAAAAAGGCATTGAACTGAACAAACTAGAGAAACAAAATGTGCCTCTTAACCCAGAAGAAAAGATTGTAGCTCCACTGTCAGGTATCATACCAATCAAAAAAACATTTAAATTTGTTTTAAAAAAATCTGAGCACATCCCTCCACTTCACTATTAACTACATCACAAAAATGTGTGGACTTTATGATTCAATTCTCAACCTTAGCCAACCAAACTTGGCCATGGACAGGTATTCAGTTCTGCCAATAAGAATTTTAGAAAGTCTTGGGGTATAAACAGATGTCACATTTAGAGCAGAACAGCCATGCCAGGATGCATCCGGAACAGATGATCCACTTCACTGGCGTCTACAGATGTTGCTGGGGCCATTGTCCCACATGGTTGAGCACCTGCCACTCCTGGTGCTTCAGAAGCTCAGTCCTACAGTACAACAGCCGAGAGTGCTGTACCCATGCCCTCCTGCCATAAGTGAACAGACACCGGCTGTGAAAAGGTGGCACAAACTAAGACTAGGAATTATCACACTCACAAATTTAGGCACTTGCAGTGTGAAAAGGGTTTTATGCCACCATAAATACTTATGGCAGTACAAAGGCAATGTCTGTTTGCAATGTAACTAGTAAAGAAACAGCCCTGGGAGCAGGAGCATACGTACATTCCAGTCCTCTGACTGAAGAGCTACACAGGCGAGTTCTTCCACCAAGGGGCACGAGCAGGCTGCTCCCTGGGTTACCCTCAACCTTTAGGGGAGCTCATCAGTTGACAGCCTGCCCTCTCCCCTGCCTGAGAAGGGAACAGACTGTCAATTGAAAACCAATCCCATTTCATCTTGAGGCATATGGGGAGCACTGCTGCTGCAACAGAGATACCTGCTGCCCCCTGTATTCCTCCAAGTGGACCTGGAGGAGTGAGAGGAGAATGCACTTTCCTATGGTGGCAACTCTCCAGAAGACTTGAGAGGGTTGCAGCTGTGGCACACCTGTCTGAGACTCCCTGAACCCCTCCAGGCCACCTGAAGACATTCTTCCCAGTGGCAACTTTCCTGGGACTCAGGAGGGTTCCCACCATAAGGAATCCACTCCCCATACTGCTGAACAGCTTACTGGTGGAGGCAGGGAGGAGAGGTGACATTCTTCCCTCCACGGGAACCCAAATCCTCCCCCTCCTGCTGAGCAGGGACAACAGGGGGCTGTGGGTTATTGGGTGTCCTTCACACCTGAAAGAAGCAGACAGCCATTCAAGATCAGGAGGAGACATCTTCCTCATAAGTAACTGATTTAATTTCCTGTAGAAAAGTAAGTTCTCTTCCACAAGAAAACCCTTGAACAGCTGTAAAGCTCTTTTTCTGTGCTGGGAGAAAATATTTTTGCAGGGAGAAAAAGCCTAAGTCTGTTTGCAGCCCTGGACTGACAGGGAGTTTAAGCAGCTGAGCAGTTTGATGGGATTAGTAACATACTTAAGAAAGAGGACAGTACAAACTAATTAATGTTAAACAATTTTGTGCTTAGTCTTACTTTGATACATTCATATGCAATTTTAGGTAGTGTGCACATATACAAATACTCCAAATGTGTACCTGTTTTCATCATCTATACGTACAAAAAATTTATAATACACAGCATCAGACACAGGAGATGGTTTTCGTCAGAGCATGTTGAATTAATATGACAACAGCCAAGTGAAAAAACAGGGAGAACAGGGAAGAGGTAACAGCAGCAGTCTAGGTGAAACAGCTATCATACAGTCTAGCAAGTTGTAGCAGCAGTAATGAAAATAAAAGGATAACTTCTAGAGATACCAGAGTGGCAATTTAGAACTGGGATCACTGGCTGATACTCTTATAAACAATGATTAGGCAAGGTATCCAACAGCCTTTATGACCAAAATATTTTCTCTATCAAATGCATTCGTTATATATTTTGACTTTCTTTTATTAGAGGAAAAATATTGATTATATTTGTACTGATCTATATTTTCGGACTGGTTGGTTTGATCAGAAGAGGGTTGATGAAAATAGTAAACATTTTCCTTAAGCTTAAGATCTTGACACTTGTAGCATAGAATAAAACTACAGGGAAGCTGAAAACTTCAAAACAAAACATCTGCAAGGGTTTAGGAAGAACAGTGGGGGGTGACTTGCTAAGAATGGGTTTAAAAGAAAGAATGGGAAAGTTTGCTTGTAGGCAAACTATTGGATGGAATGAATTACTCCCTATGGGGTTCTTGGCAGAAAGGGTGTTAAATGTAATCCTTTACAGCTGGATAATAATTGATTCTTTTTACACCTATGCACAAAATAAATCTAATGTTGAAGGAAGAAGAAAGTATCAATATTTTTAATTCTACTTATCTGGTCAGTGTTATACATTTTATAGCTATGACTTCATTTTTATTACCCAAAGTTAAGAGAAAGGACCTTTAGAATATTGTAGTGACATTTGCTACTGCCACTATTTAAAACAAAAATTATTCATAAATTAATCAAAACGTATACCGGTTAGATGTGTGCCCCAATGACAAAAATACACAGACAGTTGACTTTTTTTAGTTCTAATACAAATGCACATTTCTTAGTGTCCTTGTTACAAATTATAATAAAAGGCTTGACGCGCGTTCATTTTTATACTCTAAAAGTGCAGTAAGTCAACTCAAGTGAACCATTCTGTAGAAAAGGGAAATTAATATCACCTGAATAGCACCACTGAAAGCAACCAGCAAAACAAACATCAAAATAATCCTTCCTCCATAAATACATTTCTGAAGTTACTAAACAGTACAGGAGCAAATTTGTTGCTTGTGAGAAAGACCTATGGTATCTTCTAACAAGTATAATGTCCCAGCTTCCCTTTCAACTGTGTCAGTGCAACTTATGTCCCAGCTTCCCTTTCAACTGTGTCAGTGCCTCTTCCCCCCAACATGTGACACTCCTGCCACTTCAGACCCGGTCCATCATTAAAGACAGATTATACCAAGTTGTATAAGGTCCAACTTTAGTTCTTTGCTGGATTATCCTACCCGCAACATTTGAATCTAAGTTTATGGCGTCAGCCTTCAAGAATGTTCACAACAATGTCAGTAAAGTATTTAGAAATATGAGACTACCTACGGAAATAAGGCTAATATAACAGTGTCTTCAACAGTCTTTCACTTACGCTCCAGCTTACTCAAAAATCCATTTTTCCATGTTAATATAGCAAATGTAAAAGTAAAGCCCTGAACAGGACCAGGTTAAAACAGTAAAATATTTTTATGCATCTCACACTTCGATTTATCATGTGTCTGCAGGACCCCAATGGGTATTAGTAAGGTGGAGAAGCCCTGGGGACTGTCTTAAAGGAGAAATACCCCGAGAGAAGCCTGGAGAGGCAGGTCTAAGTTAGAGGAGTGAAGGGAGCCTGGATGACTAAGTTTGGGGGCAAAGAAGCCCAGAGGATGGAGCTAAACAGAAGAGCACCAAAGAAGCTACTCTGGCCCCTAGAGGCAACCTCTCTAGTATATCATTGCTAACAACAAAGTCATGGCAGGCAAGAGACAGGAGATGAGGGAGGCTAGCGTGTGCAGAAGGAGAGTCTGACTATCAGGGGGCATCAGACACTGAGGAAGAACCCCTGAGGCTGCTACACTGCACAAATTATTTTTTCAAGAATATTAGAACAAAGAAAAAAACAGGAAAAACCTTTCAAAACATTAGAAACTAAGGCAATCCAGAGCTAGTTACACTTCCCAGAGCAGATTCCAATACTACCTCAACCCCGCTGCCATACAAATATCACTTAAACATACCTTAAATTAATATACAGAGTACCTAAAACATGCATCAGAAGAATTGCTTCTAATTTCATGCATATCCATGCAATTACTACTTAAACAATCAATAAAATAAAGCTATAAAATTATACCGTACCTTATTCCAGATAAGCTGTCAAAAGCATGTAGATCTAAGACATCAGAGAGATCAACTCTGAACAAAAGAAGACATATGAAGGTTATTTTTATTTAAATATTTTATTTGTAAATAATTCAGAGCTGAGTCACAACACCAGGCTGTGGTGCTTGACAGACACAATGTTACTCTGAATGCCTTCTCCATAAGAACAGGTATTCAATAAAGCTATCTTTTAAAGCATACTATTGCTATAACACAACCGTATTTAACCATTACATTTCTAAATAATACTTTCCTTTAGAAAAAATAGCATGTTATATTATACATTAAAAACTGCTTCATAATACACAGACACACACACACACACAGAAGGGAGCTGAATCAACTTTTCAACTATGAGGCCCCAAACACACTCCATTTAAGATGTGATTAACAGGTTAATTGCACCTAAAATGATAGTCCAGCCACACATGCCACTCATTTTAAGGGATGATAATGCATTAAATGAGCCAAAGTTTGTGGCTCATTTGTATTTCACCATAAACTGACCATATGAAGGACCTGTTAGCTGGACATTGGGCTGCGGAAGCCCAATGCCAGGCTACCCATACACTGGGACCTGTCAACACCCCATATGGCTGGGACCCGTCAGCTGGGCAGTTCAATTGACAAGTCCTAGTGTACAAGAAGCCCAGCACTGGGCTCCAGTCCAAATGACCAGCATTCCATGTACAGGCAGCTATAAAACCTCGTACTGGGCAGCATATATGGTTTTATAGTTCCCAGTGCACAAGGAGCCTGGCTGCCATGGCCCAATGCCAGGCTCCCCACGGCAGTCAGCTGATTGACTTAATCTTGCTGCTTCAAACGGAGACCAGGCTCCCCCTGCACCAGCAAGTAAGGTGTGATTGGGATCTAATCCCCAACTGTAAAAATCGGGCATCCTGACATGTACATATAACATGGCAGGACACACAATTGTTGGGATCAAGGATTAGAGCCCATCACATCTTAAAGTGAACATCTTTCAGGGGCCTAAGGATAGTGAAGAACTAAAACAAGTTTCACTGGGGGGTGGGGGTGGAATACTTGTAACTGGAGGCTTATAAACTGGTGTGGACAAAATGCGGCCTGTGGGCCAGATGCGGCCCGCCAGGCCATTCTGTCTGGCCCACGGGGCCCTTGAGAAATTTAGAAAATTAATATTTATTTGCCCCTGGCTGCCTGTCATGCGGCCCTCGATGGCTTGCCAAAACTCAGTAAGCAGCCCTTCACTTGAAATAATTGCCCACCCCTGCTTTAAAACAAGGTAGAATATTCATTGTCTAGCTATATTTGATCTCATCTGAAAATAGGAGGATAGATTCTTGAGGTTTGTTCCAGTTATAGATTTCTAGGTGTATGATTTCTCAATTTAACGTTAACCTTATTTTTTGTATATGGATTATCAAGTTCAGTTAAAGCAGAAACACACCAGAGAGCTAAAAAATCAAAACTCCTCTCATGCAGAACAGTGGCATTCAACCTTTTGGCCCCCTGAGCCAGATGAGCGGTGCAGGGCCTGTCTATGGGCCAGATCAAGCCCATTCCCTTCCACCCCGCTGTGTGCTGGGATTGGGCTCCAAGGGCCTAGTGCCACCCCCTCCCAACCCTCCACACCAGGTTTGGGCCATGGGGCCTGGTGCTGCCCAGCCCTGCATGCTGGATTCAGGCACTAACTCCAGTGTGCAGGGCCCAGTGTTCTCCGTGGGTCTGGAGACTTGGCAGCAGGGTAAAGGTGCCACTAACACTGGTTACCCACTTCCACATTTCTGGACCTGTGGGCAACTTTGCAACCCGGATACATGGGAACACAGGCTGAATCTGGCCTGCGAGCTGGAGATTGAGCACCCCGATGCAGAGCCATACAGAATAGCAGATAGCTGTAGTAAGTTGTCCACGTTCATGTACTCCACTCAGTATAATGAAAACAAAACACATTTTACCAGTAGGTTTCACAGCTCTTTCTTCACAGCTGAAGAATTCTGAAATTCAAGATTGTTGGGCTCTATTCTAGGTTCAAGAGAAGTGTAGTCTAACGATCAGAATTCTTTTTGCTCTCCTCTCCATGCCATCATCTTTCACAGAAAACTCAACCTGGCCTTAGGCAAGTCCCTTAACCCTTGAGCCCATTTTCTAGACTCTCAGATTCTCAGGTATCCAAGCACTATGGCAACCCCTACAGGGAGCTAGAATAGCAATTGCAGGTAAATCCTTGTAGAGGGGACTCAGGCCAAATGGCTGCACTGGAATGGTCTTGCTCTCTCGCTCTTAAATCTCACCCGACATTACTTGATGTAGTTGAAAAGAGATCTAAGTAGGTAGTACCGGCTTAGAGAGAATATGCCAAGGTTATCGTGGGTTGATGTCAAAGTCTTCTGTGTGGCTCCTCCTCCCCTACACCCTACCCCTTTCCACTCAGGGTTCCCATTGATACTGGGTACACACTTTTGGCCAGCCTGAGTGACTGTCTTCCAGCTCAGGCACAGGTGGAAGCAGCTGGGTTGTCTGAAGTTGGTGCATTTGGCTGTGATTGCTGAAGTTTGCTGCAAGTTCTGGAATCACCTGGACTTGGCCCATGTAAAGAAGCAAATAAACTAAATACCAACTCAAATGACCATGCCCTAGGCCCTTCTCTGGCCCTATGGATGCTTCAGTCACCTCTCATAAGGCAATCTCAGTCTGGCAAGGGTGGCCCTGTACTTGCTAAATCTGTACAGGCTTGCCTGTCCCAGGCAAACCCCTGGAATAATGTGGGACCAGAGTCATCACAAACCCTGGCCTAGCCTCTAGAGATACCTGGCTTCTCCCAGCAGCATAGTCCTCTGGCATCAGTCTGGAGAGCTCAGATGTGCACAGTCCCGGGTTCCTGGTCCCCTGCCTCTGTGGGGCAAACATGATGAAAGCCCTGATCTGACTGTGCGTTCCCCATGTCCTATCATTGGTGCATGCTTTCTTAGGGGTTTCCAGGCCAGTGTGAGCCAATCTGGCCTTTTGTTCACCCCCAAGTGCCTGGCTGCTGCCAGCAAGTGTTAGGAGCCCCTGAGGGGCTCATTATCCTTTGCAGCTGCCGCCTCTGGGCTCCAGGCAGTGCTCTGTGCGCCAGCAGCCTGTTCTCTCTCGGCTGCAGCCCAAGCCCACGTGAGGCTGGGGTTCCGATCCCCGCCCCAACATGGGTGCGGAGCTTGGAGAATACCTACTGCATGCCTGTTCAAAATCCCCGTTTCCCTGTGAGCCCAGCTGGGGATCTGCCAACCACAGACCATGCCAGCAGCCACTGTCCCGGTAAGTATGGGGCTCAGCTGGGCTCCTGCTACAATCCTGCTTAGCTCAATGACTTGTGGACTACAGCACACTCAGCAAATATAGACTCTTTGAAGATTCTGATTAACAAACAAGTTCCTAGTTAGCAAATATGAAATGCCACTTTAATAGGTTCATACTCGTGAAAAACCTACCCAAATTTAGGCAAGGACAGTGAAAGGGAAACCTCAAACATTAAGGCAATCTTTCTACCAATTCTGAAATCCTTGAATACAAGGTTCTAGGAGAGCTTTTGAACAAAAACAGTTAAAAAATTCTAGAGGGGCAAAACAATGTTTTCCCCCTGTAACTTTGTTTTAATAAATAGCAGAACCATTTCTCTTGAAACATTCCTACAAACTTGCACAACATGCATACACATATGCCCTATGGCAGTGGTTCTCAATCTTTTCAGAATTGGAGGCACTCCCTGATCAACTCAAAGCACCTCTTGGAAAATGCTAGCTCTTAGTTTTCACTCTTTTTTTGAATACAGAAAAATACTAGAGAAATTCTTCTCTTGTAAAGAACTCAAAAAGACCACCACAGGTCAGAATGTTTTTAATATTACAAACTCCTGTTTGAAAACCCTGGGTTTACCTTGTGAATTGTTTGCACATCTAACAGTGCTGACACTGCACGATACCCCTGAAAGAATCTCAAGGCAGGCCAGGGTGCTATGGCACCTCACTGTCCTATGGTATGCACTGAAATTTTGGACCACTGAAAACAGTAAGTTATAATGGAAAATGTTGGGCAATTTCAATATTAGAATTGCAAGTTGTAATACACACAAACCTAGCTTTTCAGAATTTGACAATACAAACTCAAACTCAATTTTAGTACAATTCAAGTTTTAAAACTTGTGAGAAATGGATGGCTTTACAGAACTGTTTATTTAATTATTCTATATAGCCTAAAAAATGGAATTATTATTTTTTTTTTTACCAAAGAGGATATGATTTTAAAAATATATCCTACAGGCCTCAGCTAGCACTTTATTAAACTTTTACACTTATCAGCAAGTTTATAAAGCTGTTTCTGAGATGAAAGGTTTTTAATGTACAATGCACAGCATAAATAAACCTCTTCTAAAGTTTACAACCAGCTGCGTCTGAATTGTCTGTTCTCAGCAGTGCTCCAAAAACTCATACTTGCATCACAGGAACATTCAGGCGGATTTTAAAGGCTGCTATCTCTCATATAACATTGACTAGCAGTGGATTTAAGAAAATTATGCTCTCCAGTTCATTGATAGCAAGATCATTTTACTCCATTAATGAGCTATTTTTTTAATAATTTCCATTCTTGGAAAGTGGAATTATGGGACAGAATGTATAAGACAATGTAACTAGTAACATAAGAGTTGTCAATACTGGGTCAGGTCCAAAAGAAGCTGGCATCAGATATTGCAAAAGAAGGAACAAGAACCCTGCAGAAAGCAGATGTAAAATAATCTGCCTCCCAGGAGATTGCCTCCTAATCCTTTACAGATAGACACCGATTTAAATCCTCAAGTGTGACATTTAATATACCTTCCAAAATTCAAACCTTTTTTGTGAATTTTATTAAATTCTTGGCCTCAGACATTCAACCACTTCCTGGAGAAAATCATTTCGCTTCTCTGTGTGAAGAAGTTATTTTTATTAGTTTTGAATTTGCCACTCTTTCTAGTTTCATTGACTGGTTCCTGCTCTTAGGTTGTGAGAAAGGAAAATACAAGTTCCTGATGC